ACAATGGCTCATTTTTGGGACACAACCTGCTTTGAAGCATTCAAAGGCAGTTAATGCCGTTTGAAATCAAAATCCATTCCCTGCTCTATGTTAAGGCAATGAATCGGACAACAACATGATTTCAAGGTCTTGATGACTAAGAATTCTCAATTCGAGTATTTTGACAGAGTTGATGTGGGAATATTCATAAGCTGATAGATGTGAGTGTTACAAACACACCTGCCTACATAACACTTCTTCTGAAATGGCTATCCAGGTCACAAATCTCAAGAAACGGTCCAAATTTACAACAAGACGAGATGCGATTCGTTTTCAGAATACATTGCACAAACTTTGCCGACGAAATTACGATAGAAAGTGGAATTTTGCCACGAAAATGAAGGAGCAAGTCTGTCAGTCTTGCACTTTGACACCTTTGGTATACACCAAGCTGGTACCACTACGTTAATAACTGTTTATTGGATAGTAGCGGAGCAGCCGCTGACTATCAACAGTGAATATGCGGAACAGCCGCTGACGATAGTGGTAATATTCGAACCAACACCAGAACTGAGTATTCAGGCCCTTTTATGCCACTATTTTGGGCGTGGATAACCTGAATGCTCACTTCTGGTAAACAATAGTATCATACAGCATGAAGGATTGCCTACATAAAGGTAGGCGCCGCCAAGTAGACTATCAAGCACAGCGGAGGGGTGACCTGGCGGCTTAAGTGGTCAGTGAACAATAAGGTTTGTCAACGACAAGCTAACAGATATACTGAATATAACATACACGGTAGATATACAATGCTAAAGGTTGTAGATTATTTGGATAATCTACGACAACACCAATATAATATAAAATGTTTTTTTTCATTGTAGATATGATAGAGCTCTCTTGACGTTAATGTCACTCCAATTGTAATTACTAGTATCATAATTTTGACTAACGCCCAAGTTCGAGGTCAGGTCAAGCGATATAAAACGCTGAAGGCGTTGTTCTTCATAACAATTACATCTCCTATCTCAAAACTCTATCCTGCTCTCATTGCCTCCTTGCATTTTCGATTTTATCATTTTCCTGAGACTTCGGCACTAATGGAGAGGTTTTTTTTGTATTCCAAGCTGGGACCGCAGTCATAAGCTGAGTGTTTGCTCTGAGGCCGAAGTTTTATCTAAGTTTCATAGAATAAAGATAATGGTAATCAAATTTCCACTTAGCTTGATGTCAGCTATGTGCAATACCAATGCTACATACTAAAACAATAACTATGAATACCACGAGAATGCATTAATATACATTCAATTGATCTTTCCGAAGCTTATTTGTGTTCCAAAAATAACACTTTGCTTGTTATTGGAAACGCTTTTACTCGAAGTTCGTTCACATCTGCTAAGTTGAAAAGTTTTATAATTGCTAGATGCTAAAGGCACTTGGTTTTTCCTATAGGCAAAAGCAAATCACTGACAAGCAATTGTCAGTGATTTGCTTTTGCCTATAGGAAAAACCAAGTACTGATCTAAATTTTTTAAAAGTAACGACGCTCTTTCAGCTGCTTTATACGAAGTACACAAAGATCAGATCAAGCTTTGCTACTTTGGCAAAAACAATTCTGAAGAATGAAGATTATGAATAGCCGCACTTATCTACTTTTTTACTTTGAAGTAGTATAGAACGAAAACTTAGATGGAATTTTCCACCAAATTCTTAGAATTTCTCTCCAAATTTCAAAAGAGGATCACTCACAGTGCTATGAATGCCGAGCAAAATATAAAAAGGTGAATATAGTGTGTCGTAGCTGAATCTGTTGAGTGGTGTATCTTATGGATTTTCGCTCCTAAGGAGGCTGTGGAAATAGAGATTTTAGAATTTGAAGCTGATTGACATGTGTGCATTTGAGTGAATCTTCTGCAACCGATATTATTTCGTAACAATAAATACAAGGTCTATTCTGTTCTTATGTGAAACTTTATGAGATTTGACAGTCTGACATGCTCAAAATTTGGACGTCAGGCATGAGGCAGCAAAGGCTGGCCGCATTTGCTTCTGGAAGTGCCTGGGCAGCTCCAGACTTTCTCGCACCTCTAATCAATCATGATCACCTTTGATTACTTTACAAGCGAGAGAATCAAACAAAGATCTTCTTAAAGAGTTTTTTTTACTGTAGACCAAGTAATCTTGCGATTTCTTTCAACCTTAGCAATCTTCTTTAAGGTTTCAACCTATAGAGTATTGGATTCAAAGCAGTTTCCTCCAAAATTCGTGGAGTAGAAAATAATAAAGCCGCAAGATAAAGGGAGTAGCTCTCAGTCTTTTAAGTCATTGTTTTCAATCGGAAGTAGTGAGACGAAAAAGACTTACAAGAATATGTTTAATATTCCGGCTTGAAGATTTGGTAAACCAAGTTATAATTCCTCATCTGTTCAAAATTCTGATTTTATATCGCCTTCAATGTTGATTGGCTAATTCTATAGACCTCTTCTGAAACTTACCGTTCATTCATTTGAACACGGAACAACCTATATCTCACATTCTACCATTTTTATAAAGTTTACGAACAAATGAGCTTAATGTCAAATCAAATAGATACTTAGAGGTGCGAAGAAGTAATTAGAAACGTGAGAAACTCTGAAGCTCCCAGGTACTTCCATAGGCAGAATCGGTAAGCCTTTGCTGCCTCCTGCCCGACCGCCTCAAAATTTCGCTATTCTCTCTTAATTGTGAATATATAAGCTAAGTCCTGGCAAAAGTATTTATTGTGAACTTATGTTCCTTGCTTTTTCTTGTTATTACTCATACATCCCTTGAGAGCAAAATGCTGTGATCGAGTTGACTTCTGGGCCGTAAATATTTATGAAAGTTTATTCGGCTCCTTATCAAAAGACTAAAAGTCTAACTATTAGGTTGTAACAGAATTAATGCAGGATTTCCGCTCACCTTTTTCGAAATGCTGGTTTAGAAAGGCCAAGTGTTTTCTCAGAGAATTTTGCAAATTATTTGAAAGCTCTTTTCTTCTAGTTTCTTATGCATTCTTTCGTTTCAGTGAAAGTGAATTTGTCTAGAAGTTCTGAGCCCATGAATTTGAGAAACCAACTCTCGAAATTCTTTTTTTTAATGTACCTGGCTCTAAAAACACCAAAAACAATCGGAATTCGCTGCAAATATACATAGTATTTTTGAGCAAGCTATGTTACAAAATTCATGTTGAATCATGAATTCTGAAAACATTTGAGCCGAGAAATTTCAAAGCAAAATTCAACGGTCGCTGTCTTCCGTCTGCCCTATATAAAAATCCTTAAAGGCAGTGTCCGGGCAAAAACTCGATTTTGAGATTTTGTGCTTACTTGGGCCTATTCGCTACGCTGAATCCGAAAATGCACATTGGAGAGCGCGAAAATGGCAAAAAACGGCTCTAACACAGGAGGGAAATGAGCAGGTGGGCGGGTCCTCCCCACTGCGAATTCATGTTCTCGGCTTCCGGAGCGACCTTCTCGCTTCCGATTTCAAGTCAATCATTCGCACTTGGCCGGTACCGATGTTAGGACGGCTAGCGGAATCGAGAAAATCGCTCCGGGAGCTGGGAGCGTGAAATCGCACTGGGGAAAGCCCCGCCCACCTGCTGATTTCCCTCCTGTATTAGAGCCCCTTTTCGCCGTTTTCGCGCTTTCCAATGTGGATTTTCGGATTCAGCATGGCGAATAGGCCCGTATGAGCACAAAATCTCAAAATCGAGTTTTTGCCCGGACACTGCCTTTAACGCGAAGCGACTGCGGAGCTTCCGCTTTATATAGGGAGAATAGATTTAAGACATTTATGGCTGATAGGGACCGTTCTCCCTATTCAGCATTGAAAAAATTCAAAAGTTTCAGAAAAGCGATTTTTCAAATTCTCAGAAAATTCAAAAAAATGAGTACTTTTTTTTCAAATATCCTCTTGCAAAGAATTCTTTTTCAATTCCGAATTTAGAACTGCTGCACTACCGACCGTAGACTAACAGTGAGTTATATTTGTGCTACCTTTCTACATTTGATAGTAAGTTATGGTTTCTCAAAGTGAGGGTTTTCCGAAAAAAATTCTTGGCAGAATTCGGGCTATAAGATTTTCTCAGTGAAGCTACAACAACACAATAATGCGTACTGAGTGGAAAAAGGTTTGCTGATTACAATAATTCTTGTTACGAGCGAAAAAACTATTTGTGTAAAAAGTTATAATGATTCAACTACAAAATTCAGAAAACCTGCATTGATTCTGTTACAACCTTATACTTTGCGTCAAAATCGGGAGAAACCTACACACACTTAATTTTTTTTAAATCTATCGCCTTCCAAACACTTTCGAGGTTCTGATGAACAGCTCACCATTACCATTTGTCACTATGGAACCCAGCAGTTCTAAAGACTAAAAAACAAGGGTCTGTTCTGGTTTTTAATAGATGCTTCTTTGCCAAGCGAAATGAGCGCGTCTACTGGCAGCCGGCAATCGGCTGACGCCATTTTTGGCCATAATATTGAATGCAAAAGGGTGCCATTAGCACCACGAAGTACTCTGACTTCGAGAAAAAAAACCAGTTTCCATGTAAGACAAGGTTCTTTCCAGAGTGAAGCAATTTCTGCTTGTATTCACTAAAAACAACTAAGCTTGACATTTTCTTCTATAAAAAAAGGAGCAAGAGCCTGCAGCAAGGTCATTTTGCTGAATAAATCGTGTTTTATGGTACAAAAAAATCCCGTTATCTGGGGTAAAAAGAAAATTTTACCAATTGCTAGACTAGAATTTTAGGAGCACCAATCTTACAGCTTTTCTAAATGACTTCTTTTCATGTGATTCATGATTTCATTTTTAAATATTTGCATCTTTAGCAAGCACTTATTCTTGATGTTTTAACTCTACAATTTCTTATCCTGTTTTTTGATAATGATATCGACCTTCCAGGGACGTAGGTCAATAAAATCCATTTTCTCGGTCTGCTCTTTGATTAGCCCTTCCTGGGCTCATTTTTCACCATTCTAACTGCTACAAATAATCAATTCAAGCGCTGACGTTATCACACCCATTTTAGATAATATCTCTCAGTTCGGTGGCAGCAATGACACGGATTGACGAAAGACTAGGTGAGTTCTAGCATAGTATAGAAGAAATTCTTGAAAATATTTTATGAAAAAACATAATAGTTGTTTATGATGGTAGAAGATCCCCCTTCCTGCGTTTCTGCCTATTTTCAAAAAATCGGTTGTCTTCCAGCTATCCTTTCGGTCTCTGACAGAAGCCACATCTGCGAGTTGGCGACGGCCCTTCACGATGCTGGTTTAACCCTGGTTGCTTCAGGTGGAACTGCAGCAGTTCTTCGTAAGGCAGGATTGGAAGTACAGTAAGTCACAACCTGGTTACAACTTTCCTTTCTTCGCAAATGAACATCGAATCTGGAATCTGGTATCTTCTTGGGCTACTTGGGTCACAGAAAACTTACATACTTTGTGTGGAACATTATATTAGGTTGTCTTAAAAGTAAAAAAGACGCATAGGTCGTATCAGGTAAAGTTTGGTGCCAAAATCGAAAATTTTCTTAAACGAAGATTGGATTTTTGCGAAGAAAAATCCTACAAAGCTCCTAATAGGTTGATAAACAGTAGTCATCTAGTAATGCTCAAGAATACTTTCGCAGGATTTTTTCCATGCGTACGAGAAGAAAAGGTAGATCAAAAATGGCAAACTCCGCCCCAGCCCCTCCTACATATATCGTTGCATACCACATGCCCTAAAATACCAAGTTCAACATAGAAGATCTGAGAAAGTGACATTTTAGCATTAACCCAGAAAAAATCAACTAAATTTATTTTAGGGTACTACTATGTGTCTAGTGTGTTATGCTCAAGTTGTACGCCCATGAAAATCTTCTGGAAGGAGATCCGATTTTTAGAGCTGTTAGAAAATTTCGACTTTTGGCTAAAATTTTTACCTGGATTACGACTTAGTGGATTAGTAGTGGTCGTTTTGTAAGGCTTGCTTCGTCTATCTAATGGTACCCTAAGTCAAAAAAGGAATTTAATTTTGTGTCATCCTAATAGAAAATGATCGTGATAAGCTAGAACTGAGGGCCATCTTTCTAAAAAAAAAACTCCCATGACAAATCAGCCGCGTTCTATTCCTTTCGAATCATAATACGTTTTTTCGCTTAATGACGAAGCATATAAGTTCTTCGTTTCTTTTATAGCGCATGAGTCCCTTCTGGTTTTTGATAGACGTTTTATATGGCTTTCAGCTGTATTTCGTAGCATCTTTTTTCAAATAGCTCAAAGATTCCGAAGTTGTTTTAGAGAAGTCAGCGAAATAACGAATTTCAACGAAATGCTGGGAGGAAGAGTGAAGACCCTGCACCCAGCTGTTCATGCGGGGATTCTAGCAAGGGACACTCCGCAAGATCGGAAAGAGATGGTGGTGAGTGCCAGAGCTTGATAAAGAATCACAACAGGCGTTATTTTCTCCCGTGAATATTTAAAACATCTATCACCTTTTTTATTAAGATCATGAAAGCTTCTTTATGCACCTCATCTTTTTTCAGAACAAAATGAATTCATGTTCAAGCAAATATCAGATTGTCCAGTAAAATTCGCAATTTTTCCATAACTTTTCTCTCCTTTGTTGTAACGCATTCAAGTTACGGCGGTGTTACTTATTGTTCGATCAGTATGAAAGATGTAAATTGAGAAGAAACTGAGATTTCGCGCCCTTGAGCCGGAAATCCGTCGATGCGAAAAATCTATCAAGATTTCCAGAACACTTCGCATCTGGGATGACTTAAACTGCTGATCAAGATCAGATATTCAGTTGTTGTCGGGGCCAAAAATTTATAACGTGGTTTTTCCGTCACCTTACGAAAAGCCCACAATGCGAAGTGAGTATCATTACTGTGATAAGCATTAATTAACGTCCACCCAAGTCTCATTCGAAAGTGTAACAAACTTGTACATGCCCCTTTATAAATTGCCCTTGGTGTACTCACGCTACTCTGCTATCAAATGAGATAGCAGAATATGCAGGGTCCAGCACGAGGTGGCATATGAAAAATTAAAAATAGGAAAAAAACGGAGTCCCCCTTGAGATCGCAGAAAATTTCGAGATACCTCATTTGTAGAAGCTCTTACAATAATATGCAACGAAAAAAGAAATGGATTGAAGTGAAAAAAAGAAACAAATCAAAGATCAAGAGGCAAAATGCGAAAAAAAGCTGTTTTGTAACATCGAGAGCCATAACACAGCATAGGGGACGAAACTTGGATTAAGCTGAGTACTTATAAGTAGATCTTGATCTGAAGAATAGATCTATATAAAAAAATTGAAAATTCATTTGAGGAAGGAGAAGAATTAAGGAGATTTTTGATATTTTTTTTGGTTCCGCGCAACCGCAGGGTACTCCCACATTGCGCGGGAGCAATCTAAAATCGAAAAAACGTTTACAAATCCTTTCGTTCATATAATTTTTTCATAAGTTCTCATACTTTTCTTTTGATCATCGCCGCCTATGTACACACCAAATTTGGTGGCTCTGTTTACTCAATCTAAACGACCCGATTGTTTACATTTCTGTGCACAAAGACTGTGTTTTGACAGGTTAAAATCGTGTGCACACAGGTTTGTGGACTAGTCGTGTTTGTAACGTAGTTAATTTACATGTAACTGGTAAAATTAGACCTTCAAATTCGGGCTTTCTAATAGTTCGTTAGATTTCGGGGTAGAAACTTTACGGGTTTCCCTTTGCTTTCCCCTCAAAAAACGACATCTTGCGCGTGAAAGCGCCACCTCAGCTCAGCCCTGAGATTATTATAGAAAATGCTGCGTTTGTAGCTCGAAATACTACACAAAAGTAAAAAAAAACGAGTCGTGTTCAAAGGAATAATTTGCGAATAAAAACTGCAACATTCAGCTGCCAACCTAGTGCGCTGCCAGGATGGTCAGATGAGCTTTTTGCTTCAAGTTGTTTTTCTCAATCATCTAGCTTATTTGAAAGTCAGATAGGTAAAGAAGGCACATCTGACTTCCCTGCATTGCGTGTTTGGTATTTGCTCACATTATTCGGTTTAATATCGGAATTTTTCGATCGGTTATCGTTTTGATTTTATGGGAAGTACAAAGTAAGCTTTACCTTACTCATCTAGTAACATCTTTGTTTTGAATACATCACTGATTTAACAAAGACTTGTTTTCAGACTACTAATGTACACCGTCTGTATAGTATCACTAACTTAGTTAAGAAAAACCGCCACAGCAACTCTCTTCAAACTTTTGAGTTTTTTTTTGCATTGCAGATATAACAGAATCTGCCAAAAACTCCGTTGTGGTTATGGTTATTTAGAACATCTCTTGCATTTTTAGCTACGAAAGAACGGCAAAATCACACTTGTTGCATATGGGATGATGCTCAATGCCTTCTTCCCCCTCGCCCTCCTCTAAAGACCTTATGAAGATATCCTCAATTAATGCAACAAAACTGGTTTTCATCGTACCGGATTTTTGACAAGATGTACTCGGTACCTTTTCCCTCGATATAATCAGCATTTCCTAGTGCTTGGATAACTGACCGAAACACGCAGAAAGTTTGGAAAAGTTCCAGCGGGTCATCTGCAAAGGTTCTGTGAACGTGCTGCGCAAGTTCCGAAGAATGCGAACCACAAGAGCAAAAGAGAAGACCTAAGCGAGATTCGGACCTTGCTTTATTGACTGTGGGACTCACTTGCTTTCCTCTGGACGGATGACATGTTCGACAATGCACTTTAGTTGGCTAAGCGACGTCGTAAGAGGCTACACATTTGCAAACCTGCGGAAGTACTGGCAGATCAAGATGCTGCGGAACCGCAGGCATTTTTCGGAGTTCTCGCAGCGTTTTGTAACAAGTCCTCTGAATCTCCCGTTCTCAACCATTCTGATGTGAAAATCCTGATGAAGTAGCCATTTTTCTACGCTTCCATTTCTGTATAATGACATAATTCTGCGGAACAGCTGCAATTTTTGTGGAATCTCCGGTGAATTGTATGAGGGAGAAATGCTTGTAACAGCTGTATCGGTTGTGAGCTCTGATAATGGCATGCTGTTCAATACTCTGTTTGTACTACCCAAAATGATTGATGCCAAATAGTTTTGCTCTTTAGTAGTGCGGCAATGAGAGCCCTGGTGGTTAATAGGCATGCTCTCTGACAGGTACACCAATCATGCTTGCTCAGAATGTAGACCCACACGTCATAAGGCAAAAGTAATTTTTGCATGCCTTGATCGTCAATGTGGGAACCATTCTCGAAAGATGCAAAATTTGATTGTTTAGGCATCATGTTTTGTTTCTAAAATTTTTTCGATACACTGCCCTGGTGCTGTGAATTGCCAAAGACTTGGTTAGTTCGAGGTGCAGCGTCTGCACTCATTTTATGCGCTCGATTTTTTCGCTACCATTGAATCGCGATACTCGAGATTACAAAGTGTCCCAAAAAATGTGCCTACTGTATGATTGTATTATTCAATAACCCTCTTGTCATGAAGTCTTTCGAGGAGCTCCAGATATCATTTTATAGGGCAGGCTTCAACTTATGTTAGATTTACAGTATGAAGCGAATCACCTTGTCTCTCCATTACCGTAGGATTACGATAGAGACATTGGGGAGGGTTTTGCCTCGTAAAGGTTCATATTCTGCCCCTAAGAAATAACTAGAAGACCAAAAATCTTCTATAATAAACTACTCAGAGTCGCTTTATATGAAAGTCGCACTTCAATGCAACTCTCTGCTCGTAAGTCATGTCAAACATACCGTGACTACCGATTTCCGATATCCGTCAAAATTTTGGTTACGCCATCTGAAAAGCTCTGTGAACGCGCAAAAACATATATACGGAATTCAACATACATGAAAACCTTGTTGCACAATTTTCCAGATTCTTTTGAAAATGTTTTTGAACGACATATCTCACAATGGGGCCATATGCTCCGAGTTCCTACCGTAATCCTACATGAAAAGAGACCGGTAATTCACTCTATATCGCAAATCTAAATTAAAGCCAGCTCTAGAAAATGATAGCTAAACCTTCTCGAAAGTCACGACAGCTGTGTCACTGACAATCAAACAGTAGGCACATTTTTTGTAACGCCCTGTATTCTGATTATGTTTATTCTGAGATTGCGCAATTCAAGTTGCAGTTCTGTCATAGTAATGTGCCAGTATCGTGCGAAATTTGACGATTATCAAATCCCATGTCTGGAATATATAAACATGACTCAATATTTATAACTTTTTGTCGCACCGCCAGTTGCATTCAGGCCTCATAATCAACCATACTCCATACTAGACTGTGACTGAAATGAATTGAATAATGTGAAATCATACGAGTTCCACTAAAGGCCTACGTTTTTGCTTTTGAAGCTTACGATAATGCTCGTGTGAATCAAGACAATGAAAAAAATTGCAAAATCTAACAATAATGCGACTCTCGCTTCAGTGAAAGTGTAAGCAACTACGTTTGTTATGAAGTAGTCCTCGTAATTAAAGGAAATGTTTCTTATTCTTTTTGTTTTCGCTTCTAAATACATGCGTGACTACAAATCACTCTTCTTGTGCTCATTGTCCAGCTGTTCTACTCGTTATTCAGATAATCTAACCGGCTTAGTTCACTCAAAGATGGTCGTAATCTTCAAATGTTGCTTTTGTTTAGATTTTTTTCGGATTTGTCAGAGTGCAAAAATAGCAAAAACATCTATGTCTTGCGTACTAAGAAGATAACTTGATTCCTTCGTTTGTTGTCATTTCCTTTTGTCTCGAGCAAGTTACCTTTTCCAGGCTTTCGCAGCTCGTCCCCATTCATTGAAGGAATTTGTTGTGGAAACGAAAATCAGATTTCATAAAGTACTGATTTATTTTCGTCCCCTAGCTTGGAATTTTGGTTAGAAGACTACTGGCACGAGATGAAGGCAGTGTCCCGGCAAAATTTATTTCTACGTTGTTGCGGTTTACCTGGCATAGGTCCTAAAAAACCTTGTGAAGTGAATTTCATAATCATAATCAGCAACTCAGTTTAGCCTAATTCTTTCCATTTACCCATTCGGAGCCTTCTCGCCATGAAGAACCCACATCTGAAGTTTTTAGCGCATGATACTGGCAAAAATGAGATTTTTAGAAGCTTTCCAGGTCCACATTCAACAAAAATACGCCGGAATCTTCCGCGCCCCGCCTCCGTCGTTTTGGTCCCGCCTACTTACACTATTTTTCATTGAATGCGGACCTGGAAAGCTTCGGAAACGCTCATTTTCGTCATTTTCATGCGCTGAAAAGCCCAGGTATGGGTTCCTCATAGCGAGAAGGCTTCGATAAGATGAAAAACTGGAGAACAAATTTTTGCCAGGACACTGCCCTTAAGATCATTACATTAGTGAGTAAAAGTACATTTAGTGACGGAAATTAGAGTGATTTACTTCTGTTGATGAACGAACTCGTCTACGTAAAGGTAGCTAGGTTTGTCAGGAAGATTTCTCGCACTTTCTGCTGTTAGCTAAGAACGATTGCGTATTTATAAGAGTCACAACGCACTGTGTTCTCACTTCTAAGGATTCAATCTATCGATTCAAATTAATTTTCCTCAAATTATTCAATTTTTGCTCGACATCTTCTTAAGTCTATAGTATGACGCTTGTAAGGGAACATCTAGATTTGTAATAATACGAATTCTTTGCAGCATTGCTTGCTTTTCTGCAAATATTCTCAAGTTTCTAGCTGGGGAAGGACCCAAATTCGAAATCAGCTTTCCAAATGAAATATACAGCAATCTAAAGGGCATCAAAAGCTTTACAGATCTGTCTTCGTTTTTTACCAAGCGCCTCTAGACACTGAGTTATGAGTGTTTTTGGAATAAAAATGACAGCAAAATTTAGGCAAAATCAACGGTTATGGTCTTTCCAAGGCTCAGATAAAGAAGTTTTGAGTAAGAGAAAAATAGACAAAAGGTTTTTTATACAAAGAGTGCTCTGATATTCAACGCTGGGCCATTTGCACAATCTGCAACAAATTTGTTTCAGTTGCGCGTTCAATTTCTTAAGCCAAAAAACGCTCATGAACGCTACTATCCCGCAGACGGCCTCTTCGGAACGGTGACTGGATAAGCGCGCACGAATGGGCGGGCATTACCAGAGGGGGCGGTGCTGACTTGGGGTTCTCATGCCTCTTCGCTATTCCGAGACGATTTTCTCGCTTCCGAAGCGATATTTTGCGCCGTGACTTGGGCGCACTATCTTAAGCTGCCACTAGCTCAAGACCTCTAACTTGGGGGCATCAACGGTGTCAACTACTGAATTTGGTGAAATTGGCTCGAACTCAATGTTTCATAACCTGAAAAGTTATTGTTTGGAATAAGAGGTTATACCGAGATTCTCTGAGGTTCCGATCGTACACACCCCTCAAATCGTTTTATGATCATCTTTCTTCCTTGGTAGGATCTCAATAAAGTTTGACAACTTAAGCAGCCGCTCGACTTTTCATTCCTGTTGACTCACAGTACGACTTTGAAAGTTTGATGCTCAAGTTATTGTTATTCGAAGGACGAAACTTACCTAGATGAGTATTTCTACCTGATGATTTGATGGTCCTTACATATCTGTCAAAAAATTGCTTCAAAAAATCGGTCCATATGAGCTTCATGAAGAGCAGAGCTGACCGAAGAAATATGATTGAAATACGAAAATACGAGGTTAATAAGATTGCCAGGTGTCCCCTCCCCCACCCTTGTCTCTCAGAGTTTTAATTTTCTGAATTTTCTTTGCCGTCAACATAATGGTCATTTTTTTGTTGAGATTACAGCCAGACTTCCATTTGATCTCCTTGAATTGCCTCATAATCCAGTTGTTGTTCCGAAAAAAGGCTTTTCTAATTTCTTCCGCCAAATTTTATGGAGCGGACAGAGCTGAACAACATTCTCGGAAACTCAGCCAGGCGGCACTGCTGCATAAAATGTCGAGTTTCCTTGAGTGATTCTGTTTGCGCGCTCTTTGTCAGCGAGCAAGCTAAGACAGCGAGTTATGACTTTTGATTTATGGCCCGTTCATCTTCCGACTCAATGCATTTGACCTTGGATTTGTGGCTTTGGACTTGTGCAGAATGCTTTCCGAACATCATGAAAACACCTACTTTACTTTTGCAGAAACTATCTTTTTGATAGCATTGCTTTGTAGCTTCTTGGAATATCAAATATTCAACAGTGCAGTGTTAAAAAGCCCTGCGAACCCTTAACTTCACCACATGCACTTCCGGTCCTGCTTGATTTCTAAAAAAATGCTTGTCTAAATAAAGTCGTTCAATTACAGCTTCTTTTCTAGTTGTGATTTAGAAAATTGAGTAATCCGACAGATAGATTGAATTATAATCATCACAATCTCCTAATAGGATCAAACTTATACCCCATTTTGCGGTATGTGAACGCTATTAAAATTTAGGATACTTATCTTCTCTTTTTTTCTGGCAAGAAGGTAAAAAAACGAAAAAATGTTGTGCTATCAAACTGCTGACTGCTTATGTAAAGGAACACGGCACAGCTGGCACCAAGTCAAGCTGAATTTCGTTTTTGGGACAAAAATCGGGATTGTTTTCGTCCGAAGACATAAAAATTTCGACGTTTTATTAGTTGACGTTTCATTTTCTTTAAGGTTTTTACGTTTAAGGGTTTAAGGTCAAAGGGGACTTTGTAAGAAATTTTCAAGATCAAAGGGGACTTCATTTTAAAATTTTTCTGGTGCCAGCCCGTGCCGAGCCCTGCTTATATACACTTACACCTTCCTCCTTTCACAGTTTCTTCCATTTACGCTTCGTGGATGTAGGCATTTCATCTTTCGAACAAGAGTATCTTCAACTTTGCCATTTTGAAGACATTCCAACGATTCTGTGGCTTCAAAAAATAGGATAATAAAGAGCAATACTCGATTTTCTTTCAGGCAATTTCAATTCAAAGGGAGGGAGGAGGGGGGAGGAAGGAGGCCAACAGTGATCAGAATTGTCTCGATGTTTTTGAATTTTTTTGCGAAGTGTCTCCTTGTGCACAAAGAACTACCAAACATTTCGTTTTATCTCACTCGTCCTCACTCTCCTATGCATAATCAAACAATCTAAGCATCTTATTGGAGCCCTATTACTGTGAGGAGCATGTAATTTCGCTAAAAAAGGTATAATTGGGGCTTTGTTGGCAATTTGGAGTCAGTCTCTGAGGCACAGCTGAAAAATGTTTTGAAAGCATGCGTGTTGTTGTTACCACTGGTCTTTCTTGACTGTCTGCTGAAAAAAAAAATACTTCACGTGCATTTGGAGCCATAATCAACGTTTTTCAGATATATACAAGTTATATGATCAAGCATTTGATTTGGGAATAACTTTTCATTGATTCCTCCTGGCTAGTATAAGTGTTTGAAACAGAAACTGATTTCAGTGCTTCTTGAGCTTTTTGTTCAAATTAAATTTACTCATATGATAAAGAATACATACTCATTCTGGTTACCGACTCCTTAGTATTTACTTCCAGAATTGGCTTTCCCATTCTTCAGATTAATGTGACTTCAGGGCAACGGGTTCAAATACGTGGACGTAGTGGTTTGCAACCTGTACCCCTTCAAAAAAGTCATTGCCAATCCCTCCTTCACGCCTGATCTCGCCATTGAAAATATTGACATTGGTAAAACTTAGTCTACGAACATTAAATGATTTTTCTAATAATTCTATTGCAGGAGGAGTGACATTGCTGAGAGCTGCGGCTAAAAATCATAATCGCGTCACCGTGCTTTGTGATCCGAAAGATTACGAAAAATATATAGTTAAGGTAAGTTGAGCTTTCAATTAAGTCAAGTGCCCAACTATTAGGTTGTCCCGAAAGTTTTGTCCGTTTTTTCAACCTATCATAAAAACGCGTGAAACGAAGATAGGGAAACGCTCTAAGCACTATCCGACGCATCTTATCCTTTTCTTTCTAACTGTCATGCTTCCATGCCGATTAATCTTTTGTTCACTGAGATTAACGCCGAAATTTCGAACCCATGGTTTTTACTATGTCCAAGTTTGGCAATTTTTCACAATCTTTATTTTTGACTTTCGGAAAAGCTTTGGCAACGGTTAGATAGACCAAGCAAAGGGCAATATGATGCAATTTTGCGGCGTCTATAGCCAGCCTTGAAAATTTTTTAGAATTATTTTTCTGATGCTATCAAATTCCACTTTTGGTGATGCCAAAAGCCAGAGATCATGAAACGGCGCACAACTAAGGTGTTATTCGATGCAGCTTTTCCTCCTCTTTCCAGTGAGTGTATTTTCTCTCCAATTTGCGGGGTCTTTGGCGATAAAATTTTCGTATTTCTTGAATTTGATCCCACCCCAGCGTGTACACGTAAAATGCAAAATCTTATATTTCGAAGCGTTAAGCGCTCATTTGCTTCGTAAAAATAGCGAATAATCGCAATCGGTTTTTGGAAGCTTCAAAATCCGATGATTTGTTAGTGTTCGAGGCGTTTCTGTATTTTGGAACTTTGCAGAACTGAAGACTTTTGAAAAAATTATCTTTAAAAATATTGAAAAGCCAGCTAGATATGCCAAATAAATGCATTGCATTGCCCTTTGCTTACTCTATCTGAGGGCTATCACAGCTCTTCCAAAATTTGAAAATGAAGATTGTGAAAAATTGTCAAACTTGGACATAGTGAAAACCATGGGTTCGAAATTCGGCGTTTATCTCAGTGAACAGAAGATTAATCGGCATGGAAGGATGACAGTTAGAAAGAGGAGGAAAAGATGCGTCGGATAGTGCTTAGAGTGTTTCCCTATCTTTGTTCCGCGTATTTTTATGGTAGATTGAAAAAACGGACAAACCTCTCAGGACAACCTAATATATTCTTAATTTTCTTGCCCCTTTGATCTCTTGCTTATTGGCTTTTTATTGGCTATTCCAAAAGGAGGTTTATACCTTTAATGGTGTAAATGACGGACCCAAGAATCAGAATTGAAGTATTATCAAACATAAAATCAACTATCTGCTGCATAAAGTCTTTCTATGAACAAGACGTGGTTCCTATAGGATAGCAAAATTGACACAATAATTGGAAAGTAATCACACTGACTATCAGGTTCGTACAACAAAGAGGCAAAGGTGCTACATCTCTTCTAATTCGAAAGTCTCGAATTTTAATTTATCGAGGAAGATCTCATAGTTTTGAAGAAGCATTGCATGTAAAAGCCTTTCATTCTTTAGCGGGGATATAGTGGAGTTTGTTCAGGGAATGACGTGAACCTCATTTTGCTCTAAAAGAGCGCGATTAAATTAAATTTTCATTGCTTTATTTACGGTACGAATATGCATGGTTGGCTATGTAATTGCTTTGCAAAAGCTTAACCATGTTCTATTCAAATCAAAACATGCGAAATCCAGACTATAATTCGATTAGTAATAGTAAAAACGCATTAACAAAGGAAGCATGTTTAGTCGAAGGGGCCTTCCTAATGGGTGCCATATTGGAGGGCATAAAACGCTAACTCCAAATCTGCTTTCCTAGTCTGCAAAACTTTTATGGATGAGGAGTTATGAGCGCTTACTGGAGCAAAAAATGGAATGTGCAAGTAGGACACAAATAGTCGTTATCTTTTTTGTAATGCTCTAATGGAGCAATAATGATTATCAAAGCATTATTCAATGGATACTCTAAGATAAAAAAAATATATCACGCTTGGTTGCTTTGGCTTAAGGGCTACTAAGATATTAGCAACTCATTTTATCCTAAATGCCCACTCAATTTTTGCCTCAGTAAACGCTCATAATTCCTCGTTCAAAAACATTTTGCAGATAAGAAAGACAGATTTGTTATTAACGTTTTATGCACTTTCAAAATCGTATATTTGTCATCTAAAAGGCCATCTCGACAAAAAGTTTAGCTAGTCTAAATTAGGTTCATCTAAACAGCTTTAGAGCGAGTTGATGTCGATAACACATCTATGTAGTCCAAAATATTTTTCCTCGAAAATGCATTCATATCAAAAAATTTTTTACACTACTTTTGTGACTATGGGAGTAATTCGTCTTTATTCTACGCAAAAATTAAAACTACTGTGGGTTACCATGGACTCGTGGCTATTCATTACTCATAACGGTTTTATCGGTTTTATCTACATCCCGTAAAAGTTGTGGCGAACTAGTTTTCAGATTCTCCGAATTATTCGACACCAATGGCTTAGTTGAATTTTATTTTTAGGTTATTTACAGTTTTGTTGATTTCATTTGCATAGGGGGTGAGGATATTTCAATAGGCTCAAGGGGATATCATAATTTTACTGTTATAGATGGGCTTACGCTTGGTGTTGTTCTTTTTATATTTAGGGAATTTATATTCGTATTGGGTTTTTTAAAGTCTGAAACTGGCCTTTTTGAACGTAAATCTCTAGACGTTTGGGCTAGCTAAACTGGGCCCTTTAAAATCTTGTTACACTACGTTCGTAATCTGGAAAATTGAATAAGGTTAGGTGTACGATTTCATAGCAGTCCGTGAGCGAATTATAGCTCCAAAATTCTTTCAGAGGTCTCATCCGTTGGTCTCATCCATAGTTTTCTGATTAAAGAAGTGCAAATTTTTCCTTTTTTCCAAAAAGCAATTTCCTCTAGATAAACTCAAAGTTCAAACTGGATTTGACTTTGTGCATGGATTTACCACGTAATGAATAATTTACGACATCCCTTATCAAAACTGTAATTGTTTCAAAGCGGCAGGTGCAAACATGTGGAAACAAATATTGAATATCCACTAGAAAAAAGGTGACGGGCAAGAAATTCTCTGTCGTCATCTTTTTTGACCACTGACATTCCTCTTTGCATTTTCCTACGTAGTTAGACTGATGTGTACACCCTAGGGACTGACCTTATGCCACAGTTGTTTCTTCACTATTTTTCTCGAGATTGCCTGCTTATGGATCGCTTCTATTTATCACTGCTTGCTGTGTCTAGGATACTCCAAAAACATCGCTAGAACAAAAAGTGACGTCATTTTCGCTTTGGCGGCTTCTTCGCTTAATTATTCCATCTTATTAACCATGTTGGAGTGGGTCTAGCTTGAGAAACATGGCTGAACTTTCAAACTCGAAAAAAAAATTCTGCAAATTTTCGCAAACAACTTGTACAGTTTACACAAAGCTTGTCACAAACTTATCATCTTAATTCTTTTTCTCGAAAACTTCTCCACACACAAAATAAACTGCACTTTTTTGTTTCATTACAGAATTGTGATCATATTTTAGCAAAGTCTTGTCTTAAATAATTTTTAACACTCGCTAAAATTTAAGCTGGAGTGATGAATGAAAACTACTTCTAAAAAGTCTTTGGCTATGTTCAAAATGATTACTCATGAAAATTGGTCTGCTTTACCAAGAAGGGAGATTTTGGATTTTCAGACCTTAAATCTACTAGACTCGTTTACAACCTGGTGACCACCTCACTAAAATTATGTGCTGGTCAGCTTTTGATGTACTTAAAAGATAATCGGTTATTTATGGAAAGATTCGAAGATTTTTATGTTTTGCCAACAAGGAAAGGTTAACTGCTCGAACTGGCTTTTCCATACAAGTTATACACTGTTTTAGAAGAAGTGAACAGGGCTCGGCGCGAGGTGGCTAGTTGGAAATGCAAAAAACGAAATCCCTCTTGGCTTTTGCCAATTTTTACGAAGTCCCCTTTGACCCTAGACCATGATCCCTAGAAAATCTCCAAAAAAACGTCGCTAATTTTGTGTCTTTTCGGCCACTAAAACGAAACCTCCATTGCTTTTGTCCCAAAAACTATATCCAGCTTACTTATAAGCCACCGGTACGAGCCCTGGAGGTGAAACGCTGATTATAAATCTGTTTCTTTATCGGGTGAATATATTGGAGTGGAAAGTTGAACGCCTCCTACAATAAAACCATTCTGAACTGTAATTTCTGAGCTCAGATGAGTCTATGGTGGCTGCTAAGGCAACTTCTGCAATGAATATTTTCGGTCTGATAAAGTTGTGCTTCCACTCTTTTTGACCCTGTGTAAACCACAGCATGTTTTTACACTCTCCGAACCCCTACATCTTTACCTTAAGAAATTCTCATAATCCCTCTCCCATAGGCGCTTTACAAATAGAAGGAGTTCTGTTCCATACTCTTTAGAATGATTTGCACTTTATATGAAAGGGTCACTTCGATGAATTACTTTTTTGCGAAAAAAATTAAACTATGTAAATAAAGTTTTATCTTCCACCTACGTATTCTTTCCGTAATGAAGGTAGCTGCATCACTGGACGACATCACATCGAATTTGCAAACATTTCAATATATTAGGCTGCAAAAGTTCTTGAGGCAATCGGCAAACCGCATCATGACGACAGACAAAAATTCAGTCGGTACAGCATCTCTCCAACCGCCAAGTTCACTATCCCTTAGTGGTCACTCAGTGTTGACGACAGACAAAAATCCAACTGTCGAAATCTCGTACCCATCGTTCTTGCCTTGTGGTTAATTTTCAAAATTCTAGTCACCGCCTCATTTATTTCTCTTATTATATCGATACATATTAGGGTGTCCAATAATTTTTTACCGTTTTTACCCTAGACATCAACATTCCCTGAGATTTGGGACACCTACAAAATTTACAAAAACATGGTCGTACTTCTGTATGTATGAGCTATATGGTCACGTGGTTGGAGAAGCTCGTCTAATGGAGTTTGCTATTTTACTCCCATTCGTTTTTCTCTATTTCTAGCCATGGAGAAGTACGGAAATTGTACAATTGAATGTTTGATATGTCAAGCATATGCTAGGATAATT